AATTTTCAGCGTTTCAACCTATTTCCTACAAAAAAGCCCCACCGGCGTTTATAGTAACATTGGACTTATGAAGACATTAATAATCTAAAAATTCCGGGCAAATCATATTCACACCAAAATAATATCGCTACACGCAAAAAAATGAAAGCTTAAAAAAGTAGGGATTATTTTTTTCTAGAAAATCTTGAATTCCCAAAAAATTATGGATTATTTTTCCCAAAAAAAATAATTTCCATTTTGCAAATGAAGCAATATCCCGGTAAGTTTTCAGGCTGGATGCGTATGTATTTCCACTGGCTCTTCGGCTATATCGTTGGTATGCCTTCTTCTTCCTTCACTTAAAAGTTGGGGCGTAAAATGATAAAATATTGCACAAGTTTGGTCATAACTCTATTTAATTTTCCAACCAAACTGCCCAAACTTTACGAACTAAGAAGTAATACTGCTGGGGAGAGGGGAGAGGAGTTGTATATTTCTGCTCGTGGGGGGAGGAGGGGTGCTCCCGAAATGGGTGACGTAAATAGGCACACTATTATTATATTTATTCCGCCAGGAGAAAGTAATGCACGGAGAAAGTTGAAAGTATGTACGGGGATGATGCAGATCGTAGTGTGAAATTCATTTATTTCGGAGAAAGGAATGAACACAGAATTAATTTTGGCGGGGTTCCTTTTGGCAAGATTTTTATTTATTTTTCAAAATGAGGAAATTCGAAAATATTTCGGAAATTTTAAAATTCTCATATTTATTTCGCCAGGATTGAGAGTATTGATGCAGATTGCAGTGTGAAATTCATTTACTATTTGGGAGAAAGGAATGAACAGGGAATGAATTTGGCATAATTTTTATAGAAATGTATCTGCAAAAATTTAGAAATTCAGAAATATTCGGAAATTCTTATATTTAGTCCGACAGGAGTAGTGCACGGAGAAAGTACGCACTGAATGGTGCAGATTGTAGTATGAGATTCATTTATTTCGGTGAAAGGAGTAAAGAGAGATTGGATTTCCTGTTGATGATTTTCGTATAAATGTTAAAATTTGGAAATTCAGAAATATTCAGTGGAAATTCTTATATTTATTCGACCAGTATTGATGCAGATTGTAGTGTGCAATTCATCTATTTCGGAGAAAAGACTCAAAGGAGAATGGATTTGGCAAAGTATAGACTTTCTTTTGTGGCATAATTTTCTTGTGTTCTCCGAATAATGTTTTCCGAATTATGAAAAATCGGGAGCATTTGGAAAATTCGAAAACTTATTCCACAACGACAAAATAGAAAGTAGTGGATGATCCACCTTTATGTCGCAGAAAGTAAAAGGCAAGAGAATGGAATTGGTAAATTGGATAATTGGATAATTTTGTTTTTGCATGATTTTTTTAAATGTATTGTATTTTTCAAAATTTAAAAAAACTAAGTCATTTCGGATCATAGATATTTCCCCATTTCTTTTAATTCGGAAAGCTTCAAAGATTTTGAAAATGAATGTAAGATTCAGTTGTAAGAAGGTAAGATTATGAGATGTTATAACATGACGAAATACAATTTCAAGTATTTTTTCCTCCCAAATAATTGTGTAAAAAAGGTTACGAATTTTTTACAATTAATTATTTAAAATTTCATACTTTTTTATATTTGTTAAGTTCCCCTTTGCCGGTATTACACCTAACATTATTAATTACAATCCCACACACATACATAACACTATAACGACGTCAGAATTCCACATTATTTAGAAAAACTATAATTTAAAATTTCCAACTATCATAAAATTCCCAATTTCTTTTAGATCAAATCAGTGGATTCTGCCATTGTTTTGATTGGTTTTACACTCATATTTCCAGTCTGACAGGAAAAACATTGAGTGTACAAAAGTTTAAATGTTTTTTTTCTTTCTCTCGAAAAATGTGTGGCGTTACGATTTCATGATTTCACATTATTTCAAAAAATGTAATTCATTTCTCAGCTCTGGGAATTTATTTTAAAAATCAGGACGACTAATTTGTAGGGTAGGGAGTTAGCAATTTGCAAAAAATGTACCCAAAATTTTAAGTTTTTGAACGAGGAGATTTCAAGTTTAAGAAGCCTTCAGAAAAATTGGAACTTATCGAAACTGGCCTAAAAAATTTACCGTCATTCCATCCATCAACTCACTTTGCTGACTAGTTGTCGTCCAGAATTTAAAAATAAATTCCCAGAGCCTAAAAATTATTTAAATTCCGCTGATTTTCACGATTTTGCTTATGCGTCATGGAGTCTTACGTTGTTTCGAAAAATACTCATTACTCCATCATCAAACTCTGTGATATTATTATTTTCCTAACAAAAAGAAATAATTATCATGAATTATATATAGTTCATGATAATTATTTCTTTAATTAAATATTATCAATTACAATTAGTCACTTTCTATTTTTTTAACTTCCAAAAACAGGATTACCTTCTCACAAAGTTCAACTTGCATAAAAGAGACATTTGTCTTTCTTCCTCGCACTAAAAATTAATAAACTTCAATTTTACGAAACAAAGATCTAAACTATAATTTAAATATCTACGGCACAAACGGCAATTTGCGACGTTTCGGGTATACAATTCGAATAAAAATTTAGTTTTTAATCTGTGAAATTATCCCACGAAAATATTTCACTATGAAACACCTGGAAAATTACTTACCTATTTTCTACCAGAAATACTTACTCTCATTACCGGAGTCGTTATTTTACTCAAAAATCGTAATAATTAATTAATCTTTCATTATAAAAAATAATCACATTAATAATTTCTAATAGTAGTCTTGCCTTCAAAAATTCTAGCGCGTCCTGATAAGGTTCAACTTTAAAAAATTACTTTTAAATACATTTTCCTCTCACAATAAGTAAATAAATGCATTTAGTGCAGTATCTTTATCTGCACTATTACAATTTTGACAACTGAAATACAAAAACCTTCTAGACAAAATTATTTTCATAATGAATTTTAAAATCCTCTGCTCCGTGGTACATAAAAAATAATTATACATCATAAATTAATTATTAATTGCAAAAAGTCAATCGCAGTTAGTCATTTTTAATGATCATATTGTCTCCAAAAATTCTAACGCGTGATTGAAAAGTTCAACTTTTAAAAAAGTTACAATTATTTTTCTCTTCACTGTAAATACCAAAAAGAAAACGAATTACTTGAGTATCAAAATTTTTATCAAAAATAAAATCAACATTACGACGTTTAAGTCATACAATTTGCATCAAAATATTGTCAAAATTTTGATCAGTGGAACGAGTCGAGTCCATGAAAATGTACGTTAGTCATTAGTGAGAAATGTACACAAACATGTTTACCATGAATTAAAAAAATGTTATTGTTCACCAAACTCGGTGCAACTCTACTTTATCAGACAAATAATTATCATTAATAAATAAATAAGTAATTATAATAAATCAATCGCAATTAGTCATTTTTAATGATCATATTGTCTCTAAAAATTCTAAGGCTTGATAAAATTCAACTTTTTTTATATAATAAAAGATTCATTATTTCCTTTCACAATGAATAAATCAACAAAGCAATATTGTAAGTAACGAACTTTACTCGATAACAATAATTTTTACAGAAAAAATAAAAATTTGCGGCGTTTCGTTATACAATTCACATGCAAAATTTGCCACAATTTTAATCCGTGCATAAGAGACGATCTCATAAAATATTTCGCTGAGAAATTCAGACAGATTTTGCACCCTTTTCTCTCGTCCAGGCCAAGGGACTCCATCTGTGCATCCTCACTTTCACTCCTTAAACGGATGGAAGCACTCGTCCAATTTCAGTAGGCACGCTGTAACCTGTTTCTCATTGTTCATGAAAAAACATACTAAAAAAGTATGTACTATTTCAAATTAAAATTAAAATTTGGAAAAAAATTTTAAAATTAAAGTTTACCAAAAAACAATAAAATTTAATAATAGCCTCAGGAGGGGAGCTTGCGAGGTTGATAATAACAGATCTTGGTGCCCTTTGGATATGTGGTAGGGACCCATGAGTGTACTAAAACCCTGAAGTAGTTTGACTCCATGGCCACATTTGCGCCCGCCACACCCACTCAAAAATGCCCAAAAAACGCTTTCACCCCAGTTTTCACTCACTCAAATCCACGTCAAAAATCCAATTTTACTCGGATTTTGAAATTTCTTTCACCATTATACTCCCAGATAGTTGCTTTCTTCAATCCAATATCAAACTCAATTTTATTGATGATTATTTCGCAAACATAATTTGTTTTGTTGATGACTACAACAATGCTCATTCAGAATTTTAAATTTTAAAAATACTAAAAATTTCGAAAAAATTGAGTTTGATATTGGATTGAAGAAAGCAACTATCTGGGAGTGTAATGGTGAAAGAAATTTCAAAATCCGAGTAAAATTGGATTTTTGGCGTGGATTTGAGTGAGTGAAAACTGGGGTGAAAGCGTTTTTTGGACATTTTTGAGTGGGTGTGGCGGGCGCAAATGTGGCCATGGAGTCAAACTACTTCAGGGTTTTAGTACACTCATGGGTCCCTACCACATATCCAAAGGGCACCAAGATCTGTTATTATCAACCTCGCAAGCTCCCCTCCTCAGTATGTAAATATTTCAGCTCGGAAATTTTCATGCATTTTTCCATGTATGTATTTTTATATGCATTTAATTTATGAAAATTTGGCCCATTCTTTTTAAGAGGTTTTTTATTTATTTCTGAAACCCCCGAAATTTTGGTGCAAAAAAAATCAGGAATTTTTTCATGTATGTATCTTTATATACATTTGATTTATGAAAATAAAATTTATGTTTCCAATTTTTTTAAGTGAATACTCTCCGATCCTCGAAATTTGTATGCATGCAAAAAAATCTTTGTAATCATGCATTTGTTCGTCATGTGTTTATCACATTAATTCTGTTTATGAAAATATTTTCGAAATTTCCCATATATTTTCGATGCAAAATGAATCTTCTTCACAAACTTCTCTAAATTTTTTGGCTTTATTTATTTTTCAATTTTCTTACTTATCTCATCTCCTCGACACTTACTTATCTCGATACAAAAGAAATCAACCTCTTAAAAATAATACACGTGATACATATGTAAATACAAAGTATTTAATATTTGTATGACAAAAACAGAACCTTCTCTCTCCCTTTTCATAAATTGTAATACTTATTAAATTAACGGACAAGGACACGGTATACGAAAAAAATACGGATATTTACTTAATTACTACCATTACTAAATATACCTACTACTACCACTTAAACTTAAGTAAATAACGGTATAAAATAGTCAATTTTTGGTAGTGTTTAAAATTACCAAAATAATTAATATATTTATATGGTACAAAAAACTGGGTATAAAACTTTCACGGTTTTAAAATACACAATATTTTGTGGTAAATATACACGGAAAATAACCCGATAAAAAATTGTCACCTAAAATTTTATCACCGTCTGCAAAGAAATTCATTCCTGGGTGGTAATTAATTTAAACAGCAGTGTTTTTAAGGTGAAGGTAACCACTTAAAGAAAGAAACGGAAGTGGTTTTTTGCAGGTATTTTGATCTGTGAGAAACGCAAGGCGCTTTCTCCCAGTTTCTTGCACCCCGTATTTCTTGCTTTTCTTGCTTTGCAGCGCAAAAAATGTACTTAACAAACCCGCAAGAAACTAAATAGTATTAAAAAGTAATTATATAACTTTCAAGGATACTTTTCAAACAATTGGCTCAATGCAAGTAATGTAATTTACAATCTGTCACAGTTCCAGGTCGAAATGTACTATTAAAAAGTATGTTTAAATTAAGTGATTTGATACAGGTTAGTCTTCCGAGTTGATGAATATGTAGAAAATCGGTGACAATTTTTTTTATCAAATTATTAACCGTGTATAAACCACATCATAATTTGCCGTCTATGACTAAAATATATTTTTTAAACCGGTGTAAATATGTAAATACACATTATTTCTTATTATCTCGTGAGTAAATCAATCCCATTTTTCTACGTTTACTTACTCATCCCGTACAAAATTACACTTCTTTGTTTTCATTTAGCTAAATAAATAATACTTTCTCCCCAATAATTTCTACACATTTAATAGAATTTCGTATTAAACCGTTTGGTACAAAAGTTTAAGTTCACAATTATGTAGTTTTTTAAGGTATTGAGAGAAAGTCTTATATTTTCATTCCCTGGATTTCGGAATTTTTTGAGTGGTTTTTTGTGATATTATTCTCTGTAGTTTTTTTCTTATTAATCTAGTTAATTATTCTGATAAAAGCTTTAATTTCATTTTGTAAATATTTCTCGTTTTCTTGATAAGTTTTTTTTGAAATTTATGTATTTAGAGGTTTTTTTGGCATTCAAGTTTTTTATCTTTCTTGAGGATGACTTTTTTTGTCAGCAGCGTATTATTTTTGTAGCAATTTACATACATAAAGAGATTTATAAATAGAGATCGAAATTAACGTGAAATATTACGGAAAGTTATCAAAATCGTAATATTTTCGGTCTGCGGTTTTGAAAAGTTATCATAAATTTTCAAAATTTCTGACTTATTTTTACAAAATAATACTAAACAATTTGACTATTCATTTGGTTCTTGTGGTTCGTCGTACGTAGAAATATTTGTCTTAAAAATATACAAGCAAGGAAGAAATATTTGGTACAATTCTCCTAAAAATACACTTTTTTATCTATGTATAAATCAACGGGTTGGTTATGCATGTAAATATTTTGTATTATAAATAAAGCTACAGTACAAATTTTTGTGTTACGTAAAGCTACAATCTTAACTTTTAGTTAGCTAAATATTTTCTAAAATAATTTCAAAAATTCCAAACCTAATTATTCTACACGACAAATAAGCAACAATTCATTTCTTGCGCTCTTTTTTCAACTAATTAGCACACAAAATCTGATGAAGCTGGACAACTCGGACCTACTTAAAGATTAGATTGAATTGAAACATGAATTTTTTTACGGACAAGACAAGACACGACATTCAGTTTTTGCAGGTTAATTTTTTCCTTAATAATTATTTAATTACATATTCATCATTAATTTTATTAAAATAAAGGTTATTATAGTAAATTCTTGAGAATTTGAAATACTGATATTTTCATAAAATTATAAATTTTTGTGATGTGTGAAGTATCAATAATTTTTATGTTCGTGGTGAGCATTATATTTCTTCCTTCGTGTGTATAAAAATATGAAATAAAACGGATCCCAAACTTTTTTTGTGTTGTCGAGTGAAGTAAAAAAGGTGGGTTTTGTTTGTTTGACAAGGCGTGAAGATTCCCAGATCCCTCGAAAATACGGGATGTTTAACACTCGAGATGAGAGATTTCTCTCATTGGAATTATTAAAGTAAAGAAACGGCACAAGGCTTAACTAGTGTGTGTGTAGGAAAATAATAAACAGTCGTTTTCTTACGGGGTACAAAAATTTGGAAAGAGAGATTTCGTAACAAAAATTATGAGATAATAATTCTAGGCGTGTCTGTAATTTTTGATTTGAATTTTTTTCCGGTTTCTGCGTTTCTACCAGAAGCGGTAAAAATATGGCTTGGGTCAAAATTTACAACATATTTATTAATCTCGAGATTAGCCTGGTTTTGATTGTGTGGATTAATTATTATACAAAAATGTACAAATCTACAATCCAGATATTGTTGTATAGATTTTTGGATGGGATAAAAATTTACAATACATATATTAGATATTTATATCTGGATTGTAGATTTGCACATTTTTTGCCAACCGAATAATACTTAACCTAAACACAAAATTTGTTTCATATCTAGATTAATTGACGTACTGTAAATTTTGACTCTGTACATTTTTACAGACTCAAATCCTAAATTACAGACACACTTCACAATCTCCACTATCTTTTTTATTCTTAAATAGAGTATTAAAATACATATTTTAAAATATTTTAGAATTTCTATATTTTTGTGTAAAGAGAAAGTTGTGGAGTGGCGATGATGCTTTTGATCGTCGTCGTTCCTTATGTAAGTTTTGGTCTAAACGTCGAGTTCTAATCTCATCCAGTCGTCGAGCCCCACGTGGACGTCGTCTTCGTGCAGGTTGTCCATGTTCATGCTCCAGGACTGCGTCGTGTCGTCGTGGTGCTGGTTAAAATTTAAAGTATTGTTAACGTCGTCATGTTCTCCCATCGTCGTTCGCGTCGTGTCATCATCCAGCTCCAGAACTTTCTCCTTATGTCAGTGCTGCTGTTTCAGCTTCACTTTCGGCGTCTGCAAAAATAGAATAATAGGTTTTCATTAGTTTTGTGGTTTTGTTGTGAAGATTTTTTTATATAAAGAAATTAGATATACAAATACTCCAACGTATAAATTGCGCTTTCATGAAAATTTTACGTATTATTGCAGTATTTCAAAAATTTTGGATTATTTTAGAGATTTCAGTGCCAGTTGAATTCACTAGCTATGCGTGTTTTATAAGCTGGCAAAAATTGGAATTGAGAAATACATAGGTATCCTAAAACCTAATATTTAAAGCATTGATTTGAACAAAATCTGTAAAATTTCTTAATAAAATCTCCCCTGAAATTGCAAACCTTCAAAAAAACAATGAAAAATCTGTAAAAAACTTCCAATTATATACACAACTTTCCCTTTTCCGTCAACCCACCAAAACTAAATTTTCTTTTATCGCTCGCACGAACTAAAAAGAAAACTATTTTTGCTTTCTTTAATGAAAATACCATCGCTTTTCGCCCTTTGTCGCCTCTCTCACGTTACATCACACATCATCCCCACCAAAAAACCAATTATACACGACACCAAACAACACAATGGTGGTCATAATACCAAAGTGAATTCCAAGCAAAATGGAAAACGAGGAGAACAACAAAGTTCACATTACTTTATTTTCTCCGAAGAAGAATACTGCCCCTTCCCAACAAAACAAAACAAAACACGCCACCCCCACCACCACGCAAAGAGCCAGAGTTATTGACAAATTAATTATCGCCGACAGTTCCCATTTGTATTGGGAGAAATATTGAGGTAGATGGATCGATAGGATTTATTCTGCTGACCAGTGTCGCACAGAAGAAGGGAGGACAAAGTGGTATTCTTGTCGGCTGTTTTGGACAAAGTACAAGTTCGAAAGGGTTGGAAAGTATGGTTTTCCGTGGGTGATATGTATTCTACTTGCGCCTTAATAATCAGCTAAAATTCACGCCAGGATAAATTTGGCGGAGCCAATCTTCGAAAAAATTTTGGACATACATAAATCATTTCAATATTTAACATAGGACTCCTCATCATCAAAAGCAGCACATTTTTAATCATTTTTCACCTCTGGGAATTTATTTTAAAATTCTGGACGACAAATTTGAAATCTTGATAACTTGATCTAAGGATCTAAGTAACTTGATTAACAGAATGGTCGTGAGTTTTTTAAGCCAATTTCAGTTCCAATTTTTCTAAAGTTTTCTTAAACTCAAGTTTAAGATCTCCTCGTTTGTCAAAATCAGTTATGTTTTTTTTTAATTTTCAACGACTCGCTCTACAAATTATTCGTATATTCGTATTCATAGAAATGATTAAAAATGTGCCGATATTGACAATTTTTGCCAAGAATCATCTTTTAAGATTACTTTCTTTCTACTTATTTACATGTCATGAATAATCGCCACTGAAAGTTTTTGGCGTATTAGTTCTACAATTTACGGATAAATATTATTCTCATTTTTCGTTAATTTAGACTGAACATATTCACAGAAATCGAGACAATTTGTACCAAATGGAATATAGTAGACCAGTTTTGTACGTAGTTTTCTACACAGGCTAAAAGTACAGAAGGGTGGCCAATGACAGTTTTTGTGGGTAATCGTGATGCTATTCCTCCTATTCTTAATCTGTTAATAAGAATGACCACCACCAGACACGCGATGATATAGGGGTGAAATTTTGCCTGGTTTGCTAAATGTTAAAAAATAAGGAATTCATGCACATAACTTCGTTTCCAAGAGAAATTTTATAATTTGATCTGAAGTCTGCAATTATAATTCGATCTTCTCATAAATACAATTTCGACGTATTACTTTAACACATTAAAAATAATTAATATTGCGATTATTCATTAATTTATTTTACAACTTCGTCCGAATATGTTCCAAAAATATTAGTAGGAAATTTATTCACCAGACGTGTTAATAATTTAATCAGAAATAAAATTTGGCATCAACTTTCTAAACACAAATTCCGTAGAAAAATCTTGTACACACGGAATTTCAATATTTTTTTATATGAGTGAAATTATCTAAATTTGAAAATTTACTGACTGGGCAAAAATTTAGCTGCGTGACTGAATATTTACTCATTCGAATCATTTGAATCTTAACAATTACAAAGTTATCCACTCGAAAATAGAATTTGGTCGTAATACTTTTACACATTAATAATTGCAATTTTGTATCTTAAAAATATCCACATTAAAATTACTTTAAAGCCAAACATCTATCATAAATTTCTAAAAATGCATTTGCATGCATTTGCAAAAATTTCTCAGAGAAAATCCTGTACATTTTATTCAAACCTGTCAATTTCTCAATAATTGAACTTATTTTGAAACAAAAAAATCTATCATCCACCCATTTCTAAAAACCTGTTAAAATTCCTGATGAAAAATCGTGTCCAAATTTATCTCGTAAAAGAAAACGAGACAATAATTGAAATTACTTTATAAAACCAACAATCTATCATCCATTGCTAAAATTCTTTATAAAAAACCCTGTCCAATTTTCCGTTCTATGTGCATTTCCTTTCCATATTTTTTTCATTTCTACACAATTCCTGACCAACATTTTAAACGCGTTTTCTCTTCCCCATTTCATTTTCCACTTGTTTTAAACCCTGGATTCGTTTATGTATGTATTCCCTACTACTTCTGGCACTTTATGGTCCCGATCGATGGTCGTGTGCCTTTGTGAGAAAGAAAGTAAAAGTGGTGGTGGTAGCGTAAACGTAAACGACCATACGTAAACCGGGTGCCATTCCACCCACGGAGTTTCATCCCCTCCAGAAGAAATAAAACCTTCATCCCTTCATCTCATCGGAGGACCTTGCACAAAAAATGTCACCCATTTTTCCCACCATCGACCAAACAGTTCACGAGAAGGGTGAAAATCACTCCATAAAATATTTTTCTCCTTCAACCCGCTTTCTTTCTGCACGTTCCACAAACGAAAGCGAAAACCCACCCTTTCCTACGAAAGTGTTGGACAGAATGGAAAACTGAAACTGAAAGCGACACTTAAACTAAACTCGTGAGCTCCTGGTTAATACGGAGTAATATACGTTGAAATGGAGGAGATGATATTTTCTACGGTACAGATATTTCTCTCCTCGTTCGTTCGTTCGTACATACAAATTTGTGTATAAATAATATGTGACCAAGAAGCCGAGTTTAACTGCCAGGAGTCTTGTTAAATGGGATGAAATGAAGATGAAGGCATGGTTGTCGCTGGTTCCTTGTAAATCCAGCACGTATGGATTTTGCTTGGTGTATGTGTTGCTGGCTGGCTGGATTTATTTAGCAGAGAGAGGTTTGGATCGATAGAGGGTAAAAATATACATGCTTCAAGTTTAAGGGATGCGAGATTTCGATGAAATTTGATCTCGTGGCAAATGAAACTTTTTCCTTATTAAAAAGGTCAAATTGATGCATATACATTGATAAATTTCCTTTTAAGATCGTTTTAAAAATCGGAATGGCGTCCAATCTTGAAATTGTGAAAAAAACGCTGTTTTAATCAGTGCTTTTTAAATTTTTTAAATGAGCCACCTGCAATAATTAAATTATATTTCGAAATGTTTTACAAAACTCTGTAATGCCATCTACATAACAAAAAACAATGGATTTTAAATCTACTAAATTTTTAATTAAACTACGTTTCAAAAAAATTTTAATAAGTTTGTAATGACGTTCAAATTCGTTATTGTTTTACAAAAAATAAAACACCCAATGCAATGTCATCATATAAATCTTGAATCATCAATTTTTTTACAAAATCGTTTCCAAAACTTGAAATGGCGTCGAACTTAGTTAAATTACTTTTTTTCATAGATTTTCTTGTTCGAATTACTAAAGATCAAGGAGAGCAGAGAGAGAGTGCTTTTACTTTTACTGCAGCTACGGCGACATTCGTGACATTTAAAGTGCATCCGTCACAAAGAAAAGAGAGAGAGACTTCGGCTGTCTTTAATGCGATGCAGGCTCACTTGTACTTTTCGTTACGCACTCACGATGGAGGTCTCCCAACGTATGCTCACAGATTTTGAGCAAATTAGTGCTAATCGACAACAAATTTAATTTATGCGAAATTTCCAAACGACACGATCTGCCAATGGGCACGTTTGGCAGAGATATTAGCATCGGAAGAGGAGTAAATTTGGAAAGCTTAAAATTTGTGAACTTTATTGCCCGTTTTTTCCTCTTCGGATGCAAATATCTCTGCCAAACGTACCCATTGGGAGATCGTTCCTTTTGCAAATTATATGTTACTTAAATTTGTGATCGATTGGAACTAGTTTGCCAAAAATCTGATACCATAGGTTGGGAGACCTCCAATCGTATCTACGTAAAAGGAGAAAATGAAGGTGTTCCCCACACCGACTTTTTCTCCATTTCTTTCCAAAAAGGACGACTCAATTCCCCTTGATAAAAAAAGGAGTTGCATTTTTTCTCTTAAGGAAAAGCAGCGGCGAACCCCTGCTGGCTGGGTCTCGTGCAGTGGAATGGAATCGAATTATTCTCCTCACCGTGGCATTTACTGGATGAAAATAGTAACGCAACGAATTCTTGCCCTTTCCTAACATTTCTGGGGTTTCGATGATTCACAAGTAGCTCAATTGACGGCGTTTTGCTTTTTATCGTGTTTGTCTCATCTATTTTTAGTTGATCGATACTGGATTACGCAAAATCCTCATACTAATTTTATTCAGAATAGAGTAGAGTCAAATATTTATATTTAAGTGAAGAGTGGACAAAAAAGTTGACATTTTTATTCCTTTTTTGGTTTTTTATGTCATCTATTCTTAGTTAGTTACGAAAAAAATCGTGGTGATTTTGTTGAGAATAGAAGATACAAATTTTATAAGTGACGACGACGAGTTGACATTTTTACTCCTTACATGAAACCACTTTTTGTCCTGAAATGTCACCCACCGAATCCCTGACCAGACCCACTTAACAAGAAAACGACGACGACGGAAAGGAAGGAAAA